CTTCCGACCATTTCACCAGATGAATTTTCCTCTTCAATTCAGAGCCCCCCATAAGAATGTAGCTTGAATTTTGTCTAACTCCTTAGCTATACCTTCAGGTAGTTTGAATAAAGACATAAAATACACTGGTAGACTAGATAGCACTGCCTTCACCAATGTTAATCTTCCTGCAAAAGATAGGAATCTCCTTTTCCACCCGGCAAGTCTCATTTTGAATTTATCAATAATAGGTTTCCAAGTCTTCTTTCTCATATGACTTGCACCCAACGGCAGGCCTAAATAGTTTAAAGGCAATCTCTGTGTCTTGCAATTAAGGAGGAGGGCAAACTCATTAAGATCTAGATCTGGAAGGCCAATCCCACAGAGCACACTTTTATGATAGTTGATTTTTAGCCCAGAAGCTATTTCAAAGCATCTAAGAATCCGCTTCAAAAAAGTACTTCTGATATTTCAGCTTCGCAGAATAATAGAGAGTCATCTGTAAATTGAAGGTGAGAGATCACAACACGATTTGATCCAATGATAGCCTCTTGTAACAAATTCAGTTCTCTAGCTCTCTGCAGGAGTATGCTCAGTGCTTCTGCAACCAAAATAAATAGGAAGGGTGATAGCAGATCACCTTGCCTAAGGCCTTTTTAAGGACTAAACTCCATGGTAGGTGAACCATTAACAAGGACTGAGAGTCTTGCAGTAGAGACATATTCTTTTATCCAAGAAGACCACTTAGCACCAAAGTCAAAATTTGCTAGCATTGAGAAAAGAAAGTTCCAATTAATGGAATCAAAAGCCTTTTCGAAATCTAGCTTAAACAGCAGCCCTTTTTTCTTAGATTTTGACCAACTATCCACCACCTCATTTGCAATTAGAATACCGTCAAGCATATTCCTTTCTCCCAAGAAAGCTAACTGAGTATCTCCTATAATCATGGGCAAGACTCTTTTAAGTCTGGAAGCAAGGACTTTTGAGAGAAGTTTGTAAATTGCCCCGACCAAGCTAATAGGCCTAAACTCATTCAAATGGATGGCTTTATCTTTCTTAGGAATGAGAGAGATAAAACTACTGTTCATACCTGAGATTAGTCTACCATGGGTATAAAATTCCTTCATAAAATTAACCACTTCCTCCTTAATCACCTTCCAATATTTTTGGAAAAACATCAGGTTGAAACCATTTGGCCTTGGAGCTTTATTCCCATTGCAATCTCTAACCGCTGCCCAAACCTCTACTTCAGTAAATTCCTCTTCGAGCCCATGGAATGAGTCACTGTGCCTTGCACTTTTAAAGTCCCCAACAAGCACTGGTCTGATCGACCATTCTTCTGTGAAATGCTTTGAATAATAGGCCCAAATTTCATTCTTAATTTGACTTGGCTCTTCAAGAACTAAGTTTCCTTTTGTGATAGAGTTGAGTGAGTTCCTATTTTTTCTGTTGGTAGCCGAAACATGGAAGTATCTTGTATTTCTATCTCCTTTCAAATTCCAGTCAAGCCTTGATTTTTGAAGCCATTCCCATTCCAACTTCCTGCTTAGCCTCCACATATCATTTCTAGTCTCCCTTTTCAACCTCAGTTCCTCCTCGTCCAGAGGCCTGGTTTCAGCTAGCAAATCCAGTTCATTGAGTTTATATTCAGAATTTTCAAGTTTGGAAGTTACGTTACCATACACCTCTTTGTTCCATTTTTTCAAAGCCATCTTCAGATTATAAAACTTTCTTTGTAAAACAGAACCAACTGATCACAATAGAAGTATCAGCGGCATTGGTCACTACCACAGGGTAAAGCATCAACCACCAGTATTGATCACCCGTAGACCAAACTGAAATGAATTGATCAGCATAGAAATATCAGTAGCATTGATCACCCGCAAACCAAAGCATCGACTACCACCACAGAGTAAGTATTCCTTATCTCCTAATCAACACCAAATCAGTACCACTCCATAGCCATTATCATAGTCCAATATCACAAATAAAAAAGTTGTTAAATTACCCTAATTATAAAATCATCTCCAACAGTGTATCAAATTTATCATTAAATTTGAATTTGATGAAAAATGGTTATTTTTTCAGCTCTAACAGTTTCATCAAATCGGTATCAAATCCAATATTTCACTTTTCTTTCATTAAACTGAGGACTAATGTGTCTTTCAACAAATCATTGTTCATTACCGTTGGATTTTTACCACTGAATGTCCCCCCGAATATCCATCTCAAGGTAAAAATTTGTAAAAAAATTACACTAACTGGTCGACCCCGCAGATGACTATATCAAGAAGAAAAATTGTAAAAAATTTGCACTAGCCAGACATTCGCCCGATCATCTGCCCGATCGACCGATGGTTTGACGAAGCTGCAAAACCCTCCATTGGAGCACTTGATATCAAAGAGAGCTTTTCCTCAATTTTTTACTTAAATTTAGTGAAAGAAATTGATATATTGCTGGAGATGCCCCAAGTTAGGCTTGATATTATTTTAAAAGTTGAAGATTAAAATTGAAAAAAATAAAAAGTTACGGTCTAATTTATTACTGAGATCAAAATTTGAAAAAAAAAATTATAATTTTTTTTGTAAATAATTTATACAAAATGATGTAACACCACTACAAATCTATTACTTTAAATAAAAAATAATAATAATAATCTATCAAGTTTGTGAAATTCTATTATATGATTTTGTGATTTTTTGTTCTGATTTATTGTAGTGTTAATTGTGATTTATTTTGATATTGATTATGACATTATTTTGATTATGATCCAAGAGGTCTTTAGTTACATCTTATGTAATGTTTGGTTATAACTTTTTTTTTTTTTAGTTAAAACTCTCATAGGATTGAGTTATGATATTTATGATAATCAAAACTACAAATATAAAAGCATTATCCATTAAGTTAACTTATTAATTACATATACAAACACGATCGTATTATTGTGGTGATAAATTTTATATAAATAATTTTTTTCTTTTTGGGTAAGAATATTATTTTTCATATTTCAATTAGGGTATTGTTAACACGAGAATGATAAAAAAAAATTTATCAATTTTGATACATTTATTATTAAATTAAATATACTTTTATAAATTTCAAATTTTTTTATAATTTTTTTTTACACTTTTTTTTAATCTTTCCAATATTAACAAGTGTTATAGAGGCTGAGGTCTCATTTGGGAATATGTTTTTTTAATAATTTTTAAATTTTTTTGACTAAAATATGATGAAAAAAATTAATATGTTTTGAATGATTTTTTAATTTTTTTTGAAAAAATATGTTAAAAGTAAAAAGAAAAGAAAATTTTTAACTTTTTAATATAAATTATTAATATTTTAATTTTTTTAATAACATTTTAACGAAAATCACCATTTGTCAAATGAGGCGTTAGCATCTCCCTTTTAATTATGAGTTTTGAGACGACAGGAAAATAAGATGCTGACAAGAACAATCATCCACGTGGCGTAGGATGAAGAGTTTGAAAGTGTGGATGGGGTCCTCGTTCCTCATTCCCGTATTAGGATATGCTGTAGACATAATAATACATACCTAAAATTTAGAAATTTTAAATATTTTATATAGGTATGGGATTTATATCATTTAGGTATTATGTGAGTGCTATATTTATTTGAAATATTTAGTAAAATATTTAGAATTCCTATCTCTTTTTCTTGAAAAATTATTGCTCAGTTCATAGTATTTTATTTTTATATCAATCACAAATTATTATATTTTTTATATTTCTTAAACGTTCAATATAAAATTATAAATTTTATTTTTTTCATAATATAAATCAACCAGTAACTTGTCCCTTCTCCTCCTCCTAATACAGGGCAGAGGCAGTACCCTCTCTCTCTCTCTCTACGTCAACCCAACCCATCATTTCCATGTTTCCAGAAAAGAGATTGTTGAAAGCTCAATGCCTCCGACTCCATCATCTCTCTCTTTTTTTGCGGTAGTTGCGCTACTAATAAAAACACACAACACAACACAACACAATTCAGAGAGACAGAGAGAGGAAATACATATGAATAAGGTGAGGTGGTTTTGAATGTGATTTTTCAAAGGATGTTTAAGGTCGAGGGTCGTAGTTACGATGTGGCCATGCCCTCTGCAATTTTGTTGCCCACAACGTCCTTTTTTGTGACTTTTTTCTACCCATTTCTGTGCCAAATTCAAATTTTCAATCAAGAAAACATGTAATTGTTGAATATCAAGCCAAGGATATCCTCTTCTCCAATGTTACCCTCTTTCTATCCCAAACTATATACAATTATTGAATTATATAAAAAAAAAAAAAAAAAATTGATAAGAAAATCTCAATATATACCTAAATCATTGTAAATATTTTGATAGATGTAGCCATGAACATTTAGGACAGAAATCTTTGGCCAGAGATCATCCAATGACAAATTATTCAATAATAGTTATTTGTCTAACTTAGAGAATCCACCACTTTATAAATTTATAAAATTACGTGAAACGTGTTCATTAATTTATGGAATTAAACATTATTCTAAGAGCAATTTATAATTTAGAGGATTATTATATATTACTGTTCTATTTCACTAAACTTTTTATTTTCTATATAATTTTTTTATGTGGTATACGTAAGGTTTCACAACATTTTACATATTATTGCATCTTAACATTTATTATATAAATACACATGAAAAGTGAAATAAAACTGGTGATAGAATACTTGTCAATAATTTTTCACTTAAAATGAGCAATGTCGTACATAATCTCATCTTATTTTCTCACTTTTAAACTCAAATCAATAGAACTCACAATTATAAACACATACAATCATAAATACATATGAAAGAAAGTGAAAATCCCGTGACAATACCTACACGGTACCCAGAAAATTGTTGGACGAAGACCCCCCAATTTTTCTCTCTGTCTATGCAGGTGGGTGGCCACTCTCGAGGCACAGAAAAACTAACCCCTCTCTCATTATTCATAACTACACACACACACACACACACACACACACAGATATAATAGCCAACATGAAAACAAAGGCTCTACTCTTGTGTCCCCCCACATTTGTCCTTTAATGTTTTACTCTCTAAACTAACACGTATAAATCCTCCTCTCCACACCCAACTAGTGCACCAACTCCTTAATTACCTCTTTTCCCACCACCTCCCTCCCTCCCTCCCTCCCTCCCTTCTCATCATCAATTGAAATTTGTTATCATCTCATGGCTTGTTTCCGAGAACATTTGGCTTGTTTGTGAGAAAATTTGATCAGTCCATCCGTTTTTGTTTGTTGAAGAATCAAAACTTTTGACCCCGAATGCCGGAAAACAACATGAGTATATCAGTAAATGGGCAATCTCAGGTCCCTCCCGGGTTTCGGTTTCATCCGACAGAAGAGGAACTGTTGCAATACTACCTGAGAAAGAAGGTTTCGTATGAGAAGATCGATTTGGATGTCATCCGTGACGTGGATCTCAATAAGCTCGAGCCATGGGATATACAAGGTGATAAATTGCTTTGTGCAATTCCGAATCCAGTTAAAACTAATGTTTAGATAGTTTGTGTTGATTCATAATTAATAGTATTGAATTTTTTATATTGAATAATGATAATTCGTTGTTGCAGAGAAGTGTAGAATAGGATCTGCGCCGCAAAACGATTGGTATTTTTTCAGCCACAAAGACAAGAAGTATCCGACTGGTACGAGGACAAATCGGGCAACTGCAGCCGGATTTTGGAAGGCGACAGGGAGGGACAAGGTGATCTACAGCAATCCAAGAAGGATTGGAATGAGAAAGACTCTTGTCTTTTATAAAGGTCGAGCACCTCACGGTCAGAAGTCTGATTGGATCATGCATGAGTATAGACTACTCGATGACAACGTCCCTGATACCAATAATGTAATTATATATATAGTCAATTAATATTTTTAAATTTTCATGATTTTAAAATGACAGTAATAATGATACGGCCCTATATCATCGATTGAGACGAAGTCCTTTTTTATTTTAAATTGGTTAAAAAAAAATTTATTGATGAAAATAAAAGAGTATAAAGGAGTAGATTCCACATTAAAAATAAAAATAAAAATAAATAAATAAAAACTACTACCTTATTTATATAAATAAATTTTTATATTTATTTGGACTAGATTGTGAAATTTAGAATTATCTATAGGTTTTATTAATTATTGGAAAATGCTAATGATTAGGTGGTCATTATACCGCATAAAAGATTTATTAAATTGTGTATATATATATATGAAAATATGTAAAAAGTACCTTTAGATTCAAAATATACTAAAATGTCTTGGATTTCTCTTTTGGAAAACGAAAAACTTTATGAAAATTCTAAGAAATATTGTAGAGATGTAAGAGATACAAAAAATACAATTTAATTGATAATATTGTGGTGCAGATTTCTGATGCTACCGGAGAGGCGACACAAGAAGAGGGATGGGTGGTTTGTCGTATCTTCAAGAAGAAAAATCACCACAAAACCCTAGACAGCAACAACAATCACATCATCAATGTGGAGACAAGAACCCAAATACCCGGTTCAACAAGTGGCGAAGGCACCTTAGAACAAATCCTTCATTACATGGGAAGGACTTGCAAGGACGAAGGATTCCTCATGCCCATCGTCGACACCGCCATGAAAAACGGCCTCCAACTCCATGACAGAATATTCATGAAACTTCCCAATCTTGAAAGCCCTTCCCAGCTCTGTAACTACCAGCAAATCCAAGTTCAGATGCTCACTGACATCATCGTCGACGAATCTTCCATAACCAACAACAACAACAACTGCCACGTCAATAATGCTGGCATTGGCACTGGCACTGGCACTGGCGATCCCATTCCTCCCAACTCGCCTTATCAGTCCGAAACAGCAAGTTTCAATGACTGGACATCCCTTGATCGGCTTGTCGCTTCACAGCTCAACGGACAATCCGAGACGTCGAAGCAGCTTGCTTGTTTTAACGATTCCACAATGGCTCTATGCTCTCCTTCCTATCATGATTTCCAATTACAGCACCAACTAAGATCAAGCAGGCCTTTTCATCATCTTGGGACACAGGATGATAATGGCGAATTCGACCTCTGGAACTTCACAAGATCATCCTCATCGTCTGCTGACCCACTATGCCACGTGTCCAATACTCCTGTATGATAGAATTTGGTTCGTAATAACAAATAATACTATGCATAATCCCATTTGTTTATAGGATTATGTATAGCATTGTTCGTATGTAATAAAGTAATTTTATTATTATTATTATTGTTGTTATTATTATTATTGTTGTTAATGATAGCAATTATGCAATAATTAATATTCATAATGTTTAATAAATGAATAAATATAATTCTACGAGAAAGTGGCATTGTCAAAGCGTCAACCATTATCTTTTGGGTAATCAGCTTGTCTCCCATTTTCATCTGGTTGTGGGTTGTTTGATAGGTTGTTTCTACCTGCAATTATATTCTCCTTGGCCAGCTTTATCCTTAAAAGGAGAACAACCTAAAGCTAATCTCCCTAGTCAATCATCCACGGATCAAGGATTCTCTAACTCAAAAAAAAAAAAAAAAAAAATTCCAAATTTTAAATTTTTAAAAAAAAAAAAAATTCCATCGTCATCTACAACTATTAAATTTAAGAATTTTGTGTTAAAATCTCAAAATATATTTAATGATTGTAAATATTTTAAAGTAAGAAGACATAAACATATCAAATAGTTATAAATATTTTGAAACAGAGCAACTTTTGGTCTGGAAACAGAGAGTTCTATTCCCCTTCTTTGTTAATTTGCAAGCGGATGAGTCCATGACTCATTGGTGAGTAGTCTAAAGGCTACGAAAATCCAGGCCATGGGTGCCCCCCACATGTCTAGTCTGCTACCCATATGAGAGAGAGGAAGAGAGAGAGAGAGATTCTTTTGTGCTAAGTGCAGCGAAGCATCTCTGTGTGGTCCTCGGATTGAACCGTGTTCACCAACAGAAAAGGTAAATGATAACCGATAATGATTGCCACGATGACCAATCTTATTGAGTTGACTCGGTGATTGCATCAATATTGGTGAGGATTGGTGACATCGTGTAATTATTCACTCCCATATATGTGGCAGTGCAATCACCGTATCACAAATTCATCTTGATCATCTATTTATATGGAGCTCATTTGAAACTAATATTTGTATGCTAGACCATATGTAGTATAAAGTAATTTTTTTGATGAAAAATGATTCATATATTGGATTTGAGTTTGTCCGAATCGACCGAATTTTGTAAGATGGATGACCATCCGAACTACTTTTCAAATGACCGTTTGGATGACTGGTACAATCCTTGTCAACAAAACTGACAACCGCGATTGTTACCTTTGTTTCCGAATGACTAGGCAGATAATCAGCAGAATGATCAATCGGATGATCGACATATATAAATTCGAGCAATTTGGATGACACAAAATTCGGTGGATGTTGCAATGCTATTTTTCAATGACGAGGATAGAAATAAACTATGTAGTCAATTTCATAGTGAATAATTTCACATCCAATAATATGATTTCTTGTAAACCTATTCCTCTTTTATATCACTCTAGATATATTTATTTTTTTTGTATAAATTTTAAGGATATTTACACACAATTCTTAATTTATGAATTTATATTTCATTAAGTCCTAACTAAAAATTTTTAGACTTTCAAATCCCATTAAAGTTTTAATAGTCAGAATTACCCTTTAAATAATGATTGTTCATCATTTATGATTATCTATAAAGGAACATGATGATTTGACATTTGATTTTTAAAACTTTAAAATATCAACTTTCAAATTGGAAAAAAAAAAAAAGTAACAATTTTTATTTTATTTTTTTGAAAAAAATTGAAAAAACTGAATTAGTTTTTGTGTAAAATCGAAAATATTGTATCTATAAAATAGCATGATGATGGAACATTGATGTATAAAACTAAATAAATAAATAAATAACTTTAAAAGTGAAAAAAATGATAATGTTTTCAGTTTTAATACTGGAAAAAAAACTAATCAGTGTGTTTGGTTTGAGTTTTCTGGATTAAGTTTTTTGAAAATTGACTTTTTTAGTTTTCGTATTTTTTTGTTTTTAGTGAATATTTTTTAAATTTTAAACATTTTTTTTACTTTTTTAGATGCACCTTACTTAGATACCTCTAAAAAGTAAAAAATTTGTAAAAAAATAAAAGAAAGAAAAATATCAAATCAAGGTAATTTAAAAAAATAATAATTACAAATTAGTGAGAAGCCATATAAATATTAATCATTAAAATTATAAACGTTTTCATGAATGTGTAATTTTTTTTTTCCAAAATCGCACTGGGTGCAATTATTCCTTAAAAGAGACATTAAATTATAAAATAATGTATAAATTATTTTTTAATGTTGTCCTCAATTAGGAAAATTTAAGGTGAGAAGTTTGGTTGGAAATTGTTAGCTTTTTTAAATTAAGAAAAAAAATCGGATTGAAATTTTTTTAATAAAAGTTTTCACAACATGCTAATGCATGCCGTGTAAAATTATAATATTTTACAACATGAAATGTATGTCATCTTAAGTACAAATATTTTATGACATATTTTTGTATGCCGTGAAAATATACATTTTTTACGGCATGCTTTTGCATGCCATAAAAAAAAATCAGATTCAATGTGTTTGGTTTGAGTTTTCTAGATTAAGTTTTTTGAAAATTGACTTTTTTGGTTTGCGTGTTTTTTCTTTTTAGTGAATATTTTTTAAATTTTAAACATTTTTTTTTCTTTTTAGTGAATATTTTTAAAATTTTAAACATTTTTTTTACTTTTTCGAAAAATTTTTAGTTAGGACTTAATGAAATATAAATTCATAAATTAAGAATTGTTGTAAATATCCTTAAAATTTATACAAAAAAAAAAAATATATCTAGAGTGATATAAAAGAGGAATAGGTTTACAAGAAATCATATTATTGATGTGAAATTATTCACTATGAAATTGACTACATAGTTTATTTCTATCCTCGTCATTGAAAAATAGCATTGCAACATCCACCGAATTTTGTGTCATTCCAATTCTCGAATTTATATATGTCGATCATCCGATGATCATTCTGCTGATTATCTGCCTAGTCATTCGGAAACAAAGGTAACAATCGCGGTTTCAGTTTTGTTGACAAGGATTGTACCAGTCATCCAAACGTCAAGATTCATGGTCATTCGGTCGATTCGGACAAATCAAATCCAATATATGAATCATTTTTCATCAAAAAAATTACTTTATACTACATATGGTCTAGCATACAAATATTAGTTTCAAATGAGCTCCATATAAATAGATGATCAAGATGATTTGTGATACGGTGATTGCACTGCCACATATATGGGAGTGAATAATTACCGATGTCACCAATCCTCACAATATTGATGCAATCACCGAGTCAACTCAATAAGATTGGTCATCGTGGCAATCATTATCGGTTATCATTTACCTTTTCTGTTGGTGAACACGGTTCAATCCGAGGACCACACAGAGATGCTTCGCTGCACTTAGCACAAAAGAATCTCTCTCTCTCTCTTCCTTTCTCTCATATGGGTAGCAGACTAGACATGTGGGGGGCACCCATGGCCTGGATTTTCGTGTAGACTACTCACCAATGAGGCATGGACTCATCCGCTTGCAAATTAACAAAGAAGGGGAATAGAACTCTCTGTTTCCAGACCAAAAGTTGCTCTGTTTCAAAATATTTATAACTATTTGATATGTTTATGTCTTCTTACTTTAAAAATATTTACAATCATTAAATGATGGGAGAAATTTTTTTTTTTTTTTTTTTTTTGAGTTAGAGAATCCTTGATCCGTGGATGATTGACTAGGGAGATTAGCTTTAGGTTGTTCTCCTTTTAAGGATAAAGCTGGCCAAGGAGAATATAATTGCAGGTAGAAACAACCTATCAAACAACCCACAACCAGATGAAAATGGGAGACAAGTGATTACCCAAAAGATAATGGTTGACGCTTTGACAATGCCACTTTCTCGTAGAATTATATTTATTCATTTATTAAACATTATGAATATTAATTATTGCATAATTGCTATCATTAACAACAATAATAATAAAACAACACAATAATAATAATAATAAATTACTTTATTACATACGAACAATGCTATACATAATCCTATAAACAAATGGGATTATGCATAGTATTATTTGTTATTACGAACCAAATTCTATCATACAGGAGTATTGGACACGTGGCATAGTGGTCAGCAGACGATGAGGATGATCTTGTGAAGTTCCAGAGGTCGAATTCGCCATTATCATCCTGTGTCCCAAGATGATGAAAAGGCCTGCTTGATCTTAGTTGGTGCTGTAATTGGAAATCATGATAGGAAGGAGAGCATAGAGCCATTGTGGAATCGTTAAAACAAGCAAGCTGCTTCGACGTCTCGGATTGTCCGTTGAGCTGTGAAGCGACAAGCCGATCAAGGGATGTCCAGTCATTGAAACTTGCTGTTTCGGACTGATAAGGCGAGTTGGGAGGAATGGGATCGCCAGTGCCAGCTGCCAATGCCAGCATTATTGACGCGGCAGTTGTTGTTGTTGTTGGTTATGGAAGATTCGTCGACGATGATGTCAGTGAGCATCTGAACTTGGATTTGCTGGTAGTTACAGAGCTGGGAAGGGCTTTCAGATTGGGAAGTTTCATGAATATTCTGTCATGGAGTTGGAGGCCGTTTTTCATGGCGGTGTCGACGATGGGCATGAGGAATCCTTCGTCCTTGCAAGTCCTTCCATGTAATGAAGGATTTGTTCTAAGGTGCCTTCGCACTTGTTGAACCGGGTATTTGGGTTCTTGTCTCCACATTGATGATGTGATTGTTGTTGCTGTCTAGGGTTTTTGTGGTGTTTTTCTTCTGAAGATACGACAAACCACCCATCCCTCTTCTTGTGTCGCCTCTCCGGTAGCATCAGAAATCTGCACCACAATATTATCAATTAAATTGTATTTTTTGTATCTCTTACATCTCTACAATATTTCTAGAATTTTCATAAAGTTTTTCGTTTTCCAAAAGAGAAATCCAAGACATTTTAGTATATTTTGAATCTAAAGGTACTTTTTACATATTTTCATATATTATATATACACAATTTAATAAATCTTTTATGCGGTATAATGACCACCTAATCATTAGCATTTTCCAATAATTAATAAAACCTATAGATAATTCTAAATTTCACAATCTAGTCCAAATAAATATAAAAATTTATTTATATAAATAAGGTAGTAGTTTTTATTTATTTATTTATTTTTATTTTTAATGTGGAATCTACTCCTTTATACTCTTTTATTTCATCAATAAATTTTTTTTTAA